AATGTATGCAGTGTGTTAATTATTGAAACTGTCCTACCAATTTGATTTGAAACTGTCTCATTGCTATTTGTTTATCAATAAAATAATGGCAAAAAAAAAAATCCAGTAACTTACTAAGGTGTTAATTTTTAATTTAAAAAAATATTCCTAGCAATAAAATGATCTTAATATGTTTATTTACCTAATTTGAGGGTCAACATAAAATACAGAATACTTTCTGTCTGAAAAAAAAAATTGAGGTACACTGGAGAAAGACTGTATGATTCTCAACATATACAAATTGTCCTTATGAAAATCACCAAAACATTTGGTTAAGGAAAATGAATCTTGGACTGGGGAGATAGCTCCGCAGTCTAAGCACCTGCCTGGCATGCACAGGGATCAGAGTTCAATCCTCAGTATTCCAGGACAGCCTGGAACCTCAGGCGCACTATGCTGGCCACTGAAACCAGGCATGGTGGCACACGCCTGGAATCCCAGCGCCAGGAGGCTGACACAAGAGAATGCGAAACCCTGTATCAAACAAACACACAAATAAATAAAAATTTTAAAAGTAACAATACATATAAAAAATGAATCTTTCCATAAAAACTAACGCAAGGCCCACGTCCTAGGAAAAGGTGTACAAGTTCTGCGTGTGAAAAGTACTGGAAAGAAAGCCAACAGCACATGGTGTTCTGTGGATCCTCTACTGTCCCAGGCCCCCAACATGCAGCAAAGGAGTCACACAGTGATTTCAGACTAGGAAGCCTAAGGTGCCTGAGACCTTGGGTTTGGCCAAACAATGTTTCTAATGATCTAGGGAGCTCTGGTGGCGGGCACCCCATCGCACACCTGCCTCCAGTAGGCTCGCTGTCCCCTACCAGACACGGCACTAGCAGGCTGGGTCAGGCTGCGCACGCAGCACAACCTGCTCGGGCTAAGCTGGCGAACCACACACATATGAAATTACATCTTGGGCATCTGACAAAATGCAAGACTGCTAACAGAGGGCAATAAATACAAATGCACACTTGCAGAGCTTGTTTTTAAATAAGGATATCTTGTATTTAATTTAAGTAGCATTGCAATCCCAGAGCTAGACAGTGGGAAAGCCGCAAAGTATGAATGTACTCTGTACCACTGAACTATGTAACTGAAGTGGGGTCAAGATGGTACACTTCACATTTTACATCTTACTACAAGAAAAATATTGGGAAAGGAGATGAAAACTGAATTTGCTCCCCATGTACATGGCTTTGTCATTATGTTGCCAGCCACTGAAAACAAAGTGACCTCCTACAGATAATACAGAGACTGGGCAAGGGCCCTAGATGGCAGTAAAGTGGATGGTTTGGACACTTGCTACCCGAAGAATGCTTTATCTGACAGCACCAGATCAACACAACTTAAGATAGG